TCCGCCGCGCGATGACCCTTCTTCCCACAGCGGAAGCAAATGAGGGGGCGTTTGCTTCGCCCAGCGCTGCCGCGGTAGGACCCGCGACGTCGATTGCTCGACGCGTTGATGGCGTCGATCTCCATGTACTCGGGGGTAGACTCTCGGGCTTCCGCAGGTATGGCTGCGGCGTACGATGCAGCGACCATGTAATCCTCGCGAATCGCGAGTGCAAACGCCTCCTCGAGAGAGGAGGGCTCAGCTCTGGTGAGGCAGTAGCGTGTCATACCCTCGCGCATGCCGAACACAAATACGTGGACTTGCGAGGCCATGTCGATTGGCTTGGTCACGATGCATGACGCCAGATGTCGCGTCTTCTGGACGTAATCACGCATGGACATCTGCCCTTGCCGCAGAGCGAAGAACTCTGCGCGAACGCGAGACTCATCTTGCGGGGGCTCGAACGCGAGGCGCAAGTCGCTCTGGAGAGTTTTCAGAGTCGGGAAAGCCTTGGGGTCGACAACCAGCTTCCCGAGGGCCCACTCTTTGGCCTTCCCGGTTAACCGGGAGAGGAGGAAGTTCATCTTGGCCGATGACGCCTCGATGCGTCGCGAGGCGATAGCGATATCGATCTCGCGGAACCACCGATTTAGCGGAAGCCGGTTTTCACCGGCGCCAGAATACGTAGACGTCTCCATCTTGACGACGTCATTCTGGGATGGACGCGAGGGAGTTGACACCCGCCGATTCGCATCGGTGAGCTCGCGTTCCATAAACTCTTGTGCTGCAAGACGTTGCTGGTCGGGCGTCGCTGAGCTCAGCAGCGATGCGACGACAGCGTCTCCGGACACCGCCACGAGGCGGTGAAGCGCTTCCCACTCCACGCGAGTGAGATGGGGGAATGCAGCATGCTCCAGGGTCGCCCCGGAGATCTGGACTTGGCTCATCGTAGACTTGGTCGTTGGAAGGACTACAAAGTGCTACCAGGTGTAACGAGGTAAGAGATACCGTTACTAGCTTACACTGTAATGCGGAGGAAGCTCGCAATAATAAAACCAAGTCTTAGGTTTGTGTCAAATTCAACTCTGATTTATTTAGGACCAGGGCGGCTACCCCTGGCCTCGTGTGAACCACTCAAACACATGTCTATATCTGATTGGTCAATAAGTGAGTCTGGCTCCTCACTATCAACCAATCAGATGATGACACCTTGGCACACGCTACCCGTGTGCCACTTTACCTACTTATGTAATAACTAAAGAAATATCTACCTACTTATGTAATTGTAGTTGGGCCCATTACAGGGGGAGAGTGTAACGGGGTTACATGGTGTGGAACACACAGGGGTACGAAGTACCCGGAGAGTTAACAAACGCTCAGTACATAAGCTGGAGAGTTAACAAGGTCTCTCAGTACGTTGGCCGAAAGCCACACGTTATGCATTTGATTAGGTTTAAGTATGCTAGATAGTTAAACGGATG